TCCCTGTAGAGATAAGGAGAACAAAGTTCAGAGAGGTTAAGCTACTTGTCCAAGGTCAACACAGCAAGTCTGTAAAGTTGAGATCAGCAAGTCTCTCTGGATCTCAGTCCAGTGTTTTTTCTACCGTCCCAGTGCTGGTTCCATTTCTAAACAGAGGACAGCTTCTCCTCACCCCTGTCTCATACTCTGGGCTAATTTCAGGGAAATGTGTGTACCTTTTTATACTATTTATCATTTAAAAGAAACTTGGCTATGTGGCATAAGGGTTTCCATTTTCCTGCTGTGTGGAGGAGTGTTTTACCTGTGCGGCAGCGCTGAGCTCGGAGCTCCATGAAGAAGGGCGTCCTGATTGTTGTGGCCCATCCAGGCGGAACCAGCCAAGCCGGCCAAGTGGTTTCTCCGCTTCACTTGGCTGTCAGATAAGGGCCACCTGCTTGTTGACTGGCACGGTGGCACTTAGGTCCAAACATGCTCCCTAATGGCTCAGAGCGTCACGGTAAAGGATGTCAGGGAGTTGATTTTGCTTTTATCCAAGAACAGAAGGTGTCACAAGTTAGACGGAACTGAACAGTCAAAAAGACATAAGTATGCATCCTGCCAGCCCCGTCCCCAGCCCTGGGAACTGTGGCCCTGCAGTGGGAAGTAAGTCCAGCTGAACCCACGGGACAAGAGAGACCCTGGAGCGGTAAAACGGCAGCCAGCGCTGAGTGGCAGTTGCCCTTGAGACAGCCGTGAATCTGAGTGTCTGGACTGTTTTCCTGAGTGCTCCTCTGCCACTTTGGGGTCTCACTCGAATGCAAATGGGGTTAAGGCCTTGTATCTGAACAGGATGTTTGCAGACCTTGGTTGAGACGAGCTTAGTTTCCCCACTTATAAAATGTGGATATGATAATCTATTTCCTGTGAGAATTAAATAAGGTTATAAAAGTAACTCCTTTAGAAATGTTCCAGGACCAAAGTAAATACTCAATAAATGTTGGCTAAAAAATTAAAATCAAAGGGCCAGGGATATAGCTCAGCGGCGCAAGCGCCTGCCTGGCAAGCGCAAGGTCCTGAGTTCTATTCCCAGTACCCTCCCACACAAAAAAAATTAAAATAGAGGTAGAGTCCTTTTGTGTCTGCAAAAAGGATTCACATCTAAGAAGGGAGATAAATGCCTCTGTTCTATAATTGTAATGAGCTACTAAGGCCATAGAGGGTAAAGAATTCCCCTAAAAAGAAAAGTCTGCTTCCATCAAGATGAGTTGAAAATAGTAAAGTAGTAATGGTAGAAATGTTTTCAAAAGTTTGAAATCCACCAGGGGAGGCTGATACTAAAAGCTTTCCTTTGATGCCATGTTCTTCTTGGGACTTAAGAAATCGTATAATGTAAGCGACAATACCAAGCTCTTCTGGAAAGTACCCTGGGACTCACAGAAAACAAAGCACTAATCTTGGTACATGCCATTTGAACAAGTAAGATTCCTATGGATAAATGGATAAATGGATAAATTCCTATGGATAAACAAGGCCACAGGCCGCTTACTGAGTTCCTGCCTCTGACAATTTCCTTCCAGAGTCGGCCTCCATTTCTAAACCTCATATCATGCAGCTCACATCCAGATTGTAGCCAAGTTTTTCTAGAGATCTGAGAAATGAGTAAGTGAACTTCAGGGTTGATAAACAATAATTGCGTATTCAATTCAGGCAGATTTGGGTAGGAATCCTAGCTTTGACCCTGGCTGTGTGATCTTGGATAAATCACTTAAGCTTTCTGAGTTTCAATTTCAACATCTTTATTAAATTTTAAGATTGAGGAGTAAATTAGAGACTTTATTTAAAATACCTAGGGCGTATTTTTCATAAAGTAGGTGTTTGAAAATGCTTGTCATTATTTTTATAAGTGGATTGAAAGCCCACTCATAAACTCTTGTGAATTCTCCAAAAACCATAACAAGGAATTTCAGGAGCATTATTAGCCAATATTGTAGTGGACCATACTCCAGAATCAAATGCAAATATCAAAAATTTGTCTGACACCACAATGGAACAAGCAACCTTAAGTAGTATAGTCCCTAAAGTTTTTAAGTAGATGGGAGATAGTGTAAATTGACTATTTTCTTAAAATGGGTTAGGTCCAAAGATACATCAATTCTAAAATTTATGTATTCTGACTGTCAAATATTTGTTCTAGCTTTAGCAATTTTTGATAAGTGCACTTTTCAGGGCCCTGTTATATTGTAATTTTGCTGTAGAGGAAACCATACCAAACTTAGTGAAAAATAAAACTAAACCCTGGTTTCTCACTCACGAGCCCATAAATAGCATCTTCTTTGGAACAGTAATGATCTGAGGTATATTCCTCTCATGGCAAAAGGCAAGGAACAAGTGAAGAGGGTAGGCACAACCACACAGCTACACTGTAAACATGTGCTCACATTGAATTTAGTAATATCCAAGCCACCAAGCAAGACATACGGCCAAGCCTAAAAGTTAGGGGTAACCTCTTTGCCCTCTGTGTTAGACAGCTTTTCCATTGGTGGGACACAATACCCAACACGCACAATTTAAAAGAGGGAAAGTTTAATTTGGATTACAGTTTCAGTGGATTAAGTCCATGGTCCTCTGGCTGCAAGGCAAGAACATCATGGCAGAGGGGCAAAGTGGAGCAAAGCTGCTCCGTTCATGGCAGCTTGGAAGGAAAGCAGGGGAATAGCATTAGGGAAGAAGGCACTAGGGGCCACAGATATTACCCAAGGTCACAGTCCATGATCTGTCCAAACAAACACAGACGTATGCCTTCTTAATCTGGCAGGCATCTCTTGATCCAGTCAGGTTGGAAATTGTGATTAACAGATTACACACATCATGAAGCCAAGGCAAGGATTCCGTGTCTATAGAATACTATGAGTCTCTCGAAACTGGGGACCAGTAATTCTGTAAACTATTCCTGGAGTGCCATCCCCTTTCTGGTCAATGGAGGGACTGTCCATTCTTTTTGGGTGCAGTCCCTAGTGAGTGATGCACCTCGTAATACATTGTGGGTTGACGTAGGAAGATAAGGGCTTCCTCATAAGGCAATATGTACTTTTAAGATTTAATCATATGAGGAGGCAACTAAACTTTCTCCTTTTAGAAGAAAAAGGAGTCTCAAAGAATCCTCTGTACAGCCCATTCCTTGACGGCAGCCCACAGAAGCATAGACTGAAAATTAATACCATCTAATGCCTACTCAGAGGCCTAACAGGATCGAATTATTGGTTTTCCTTCAATTCTCAGTGATTTACTTACCCTTTCGTAGAAACCGTCAACGTAACAGATGTATCTGATTTCAAATAATACACTAGATCAAAAACATAGGTTACTGTGAAAATATAACCATCTTCCTAGGAACAGCTCTGCTCAGCTCTTGATAAGCAATACTCAAACTAAATTGTTGGATTGAGTGTAGGAGACAGAGAAGTGGTAGACGAGACGATTACCATGAGTGTAGATTAATATCCTTCTCATGCTGTCATTTAAGAGAAGACAGTCTTCGGAAGATGCCCTGCTTTCTAGGAGACACCCATCACTGCCTGAGGGGCTGAGATTGTAGGATTCCTTCTCACTCAGTACTTTTCAGGGAGACCCAGCAATATCTAGGGACAGTGATTTCCTGGTTGACTTATTTTTTGCAAACCTCACTGGGAGGTAGAATAGTGTCAGAGTTAGAAGCCCGAGCTCTGGACTGTTCGACTGGCATCAAACTTGGTTCCACAGCTGGGCAGCTATGTGACCTTGCTAAAGAGATGTTCAGATCTGCTCTGCTCCTGGAGTGCTGAGGACTGAGTCCCCTGGTGTTTCTGTGATTGGGTTGTGGGTGCTGTGTGACTAGTTCTAGGTAAAGAGTTGTGAGAAAAAGTGTTATTTGTATATTCTGAGCTATGCCATTTAATGCCCTGCCAGAAGCTCTCCAGAATTCTCTCCTGTCTCTCTGCCAAGTGACCAACAGCATTCAAGATGGTGGCTGTTCCATCAGCCCAGAATCCAGAAGGGCTGCAATGAGCAGGATCCCCATGCTGACCTGGATAGACATGTAGCAAGGGACAGAAATAAACTTGGTTGCATTAAGCCACTGACACTTGGGGATTTGTTTGCTACCACAATTTAACCCTAGCTGACATTCCTCACTAAATCTTAGTTTCTTTATCAGGAGAATAGTGTCATCTATTTCATAAGGTAACTATGAGATTAAACAGGGTACGATTTACATAACACTTAAAATGTACCTAGAACATAATACATTCTAAATATATTTTGGTGATAATGGTATACCATGCTAGACTTTGTCTTTAACAAGATATCTATTTCTGTAAAATGATTTGTAGGTCATGTATCTTGGGAAAAAAATCACTTATCCTCAAATTATAAAAAACATTATGTTAAACTGGATGAGTTATGACTTGGATTTCTAGCTTTAAGATTATGGGATTCTATTCAAGACTCACTCAGAGAACCCTTCCTGGTATTTCAAAGATATTTCTATTGGTCGGGAGAACCAAATATATGCTCAAATCACATATTATCAAACCTCCTCCTCCTACTACTACTCCCCTCCTCCTCCTCTCCCTCCCTGCCCCCATGTCCCTCCCCTTCCCTCTTTCTCCTCCTCTCCCCCACATGACTGGCTGGTTCCTTCTCTGGTCTTAAATATAGCCCTGCCTGAACTTCATAACAATATACGTTAACATTTTAGGTTCCATAGAAAATTATCATTTGAGCCATTAAAATATGGCAATTTCCTATGGTTCAAACTGTATATAAATCTAATCTAGGTAAGAGGAGGAATTTCATCACAAACATATTGAATTACTTGTTGGATCCCATCAAGAACCCTAATGTATCTCTCCCTTTTTACCTCACTGAACTGGGAATTTCTTCTTACAGAACATGTCTTATGCTCTTTGAGGTCACCCTCTCCCATCCCCATATTCAGAACTTAGTGGGAGAAAATAATACTTCTTTTCTTTAACTCCTTTCAGATTGAAGACATCATTACAAAGATGCAAGATGACAAGACAGGGGGTGTGGCCATCAGAACAGTCAAGAGTTTTCTCTCCAAAATCCCGAGTGTTGTCACAGGTAAGGTGTTTCTTACAAAGGGTCGGCAGCAAGCAGAAGAGGCCATTGAAGAGTTCTGTTGTCTGCACTGTGACCTGGGGTTGTCTAAGAATCTGTGAATAGTAAAAGTGAACCATTACTTGTGTTTGTTGACTGCAGCCCCATCCTGGTCTTGGTTTCTGGGGAGAAGCTGCCCTTTGCCTGTCATTGAGAATGGTGTGGCCGTGCCAGACCTTAAAGTGTCTGCAGGTTGGGACTGTGGGGAGTGACTAAGGCCGTTAATAAACTGACACAGTAGCCACTTAGGTTGTGGGATAGAAATAAGCACAGAAATAGTAAAGAAATCAAGTTTATGTTGTAAAGAAAGTTTTGTGTTTTAAGAAACTCATTCAAATTCTACGAAATGCTTTTAAATCACTGTGTTTGGACTTCTGAAAAGGTAGTTTAAAAATATTGTCCTGCATTCTCTTTTGTGTTTTTTGTGCCCAAACATATTTCTTCTAAACTTTTTATTGTGGAATATATTAAGCATATTGGTATAGTTTCAGTGATAATAATATGATGCATCATATATGCCAACTACTTTGCTTTGTAAATAACATTATCAATATCTGAGAGTACCCTTGTGTACCTAGCGGATCGAGTCTCCCTCCTTGTCCCATTGTCTATTTTTGTGCTAATAAATTCATTGTTTTTCTTCATAGTTTTAATACATAGATATCCATCTTTTGCTGTTAAAACAAATAAGCAAATTAACCAAAGTAAAATTTTAGATGATGCTCTTCATTCTCAAAGTTTGGCTATTTACTTTCTAAAATGAAGGACCCAACAAGACTTACTTTCTACTCTCCTCCCCTCCTCCTTTTAGAATGGCTAAGATAAGAAATTGACGTAAGTGGCACTGATTATATCAAGTACCAGAATCTTTGTGTATTGTTCATG